ATGGGGTAGGGAGGCGGGTTGGGGGGGGGGGGGGGGGGGTGTCCGGGGGGCGTTCTGATTTTTTTCATGCCTTAGCTGTTAGACCGTTGCCCACGCGCCCTCAAGGGGATGGAGTATTGTTCCCCCCGGACCAATCACGGATGGCCAATGGTTCCTGCTTACTGGAGGTTTTTAGGTTTTGGGAGCGGTGTTTGTGTTTATGTGATGTGGCCTTGTAGACATAAATACCACCACGCTTTTGGGACTGTGGTGTGGGTTTGGGAGGGGTAGGGGGTGCTTGCTGGTTGTCTCAACGCGGATCGGGGGGGGGGGGGGCAAGAGGGCGAAGAAGTTGAAAGAGGTGATCCCTTGCATGTAACAGTGTCCCGTACAATTGGCGTGAAACAACCACCCCTTTATGTACATGTATGTGGAAATCACTGCGAAATTTGGCGTAGGCAAGGCTAGCCCGTATGTTTGACCCTCTCTGTCCGATTTAACGTAGATCCTCACGTGGAGTGCACGATGGTGAACTGAGGCTCCTGCTCACCTGCTGCTGCTGCTGCCCCAGCCAGCAGTACTGCCGCTTTTACGGCCGCCCACGCCGTGCAAGGCGCTCGCTGTGCGTGCTGGGGCTATGTAGTATGGGACTGCAGAGAGGTGGTGTGGTGCTGATGCTGATGCTGATGCTGGGATGCTGCTGGTGGGGTTAGTTTTTCTGCATGTCTGAGACACGCGCACTGCTGGTAGTGGCAGTTTTTTTTGCATGCCTGAAACACGCGATTGTCCCCGTTTGACTGGGCAACAACACAGGTGATGTCCGCCGGGGAGAAGGAGACCCGTCTGGAGACCATCCTGACGGATACCATGACCCTGTGCGGACAGATCGAGGTCGTCGCGCAGGAGGTGAAGGAGCTGGTGTCAAAGGACGTGGGCGACAACGACGCCCGCGTGGAGTACCAAGTCTTCGTTCTCGAGCAGGTTGGCCGGTCTTGTTGTTGTTGTTGTTGTTGTTGCTGGTGTTGGCGTTATTTGGTTGTTGTTGTTGTTGTTTTCGTTCTTTCCTTCGAGATGTAATGTTCTCTGTTGTGTTTGTTCTGGCCCCTTCCTTCGGGGTGTGTGTGCTTTTCTACAGGGATGTCTACATATTGAAGATGAGCTTTCACGTGAGCATTTCTTATTTTTTTATCCTTTTGTCTGTCGCAGGCTTTGTGGAGATGTTGGCTTTTCAGGCGCTGCTGCTGGTAGACACAGACCATTTCAACGTCATGTTCTTTGATGCTCGCTCGCACGGCTCTCGCCTGTGCTTCGAAGCGCGCAAACACTTTGCTACCGCCGTGGTTTCGCACCCGCCGCCGCTGCCGAATGGCCGTGTACCATGTGCCGTCGTCGTGTCGGATGTTGTCCCGCTCGCTTACGTACGTACTTGCTTACTTTGTTGCGGCGTCGGTGTGCAGTTGCTGAAGCTTGCGACCCATGCAGACTTCACCGAAGAGGCCGGGCGTCGTCGTCTGGTGACCCTCCTTCAGGACCTTCTCCTGGTACTGTACATGGCGTGGTTTGGTGTAAGCTGGCTCGACCTGATTCTATAAAATGTTAAACGTATTTTTTTCTGGTGAGGTTTTCTCTCCTCGCACACAAACAGAAGTCGAGCTTGTTGAGAGTTACGGCGAGTAAAAATCTGGCCTGGCTGATAGATTCTTGTATCCAGCGGTGGAAGGAAGCTCTCACCGATCGGGCGTTGTGCCGGTAGCAAGAGCGAGCGAGTTCCGTCAGAGAGAAACGAAGGGCGTGCGAAAATCAGACCCACATGACATCTACGGGAGTTTCGTACAGCAGTAGTAGATCCGTCCGCCCACCATACCTTCCTTTAATGGACGCGCGTGAGGGGATACAGAGAGTGTAGTTGCCTCTGGTTGATGGTGCTGCTGTACAATCGGGTGTGGAAAAATGAGTACGCGCCGAGTAGATGGAAGGAAAAGGTGTGGTTGTGCACTTGTTTTTAAGAGGGAAGGTAAGGCTGACCCAGGGAACTAATGGGGGATCACAGTATGTTTCTATGCTCCCCGTCAGCGGTGTTGTGCATGTGTCTTCTTTGTCGGCACGGAAGTAAGTTCACGCCCCCCTGACACCCCTCCGGTTGTTGCTTGTCCTCTGTTTGACGCGGGAAGGACGTGGACATGCTTCACCACACGGTGGAGTCGAGCATGGTGGCTCTCGCCGCCGCACACACGTCCGAGGCGGACTTCGTCCGCATCGTTGCCGAGCTCGTTAGCGACATCTCGGACCTCATCCACACCCGCCCGGTGAGAGAAGCAGAGACAGACAGACAGACAGACAGACAGACAGACAGACGGAGAGAAAGAGAGGGACAGGGACGGAGGGAGGGAGAGAGAGAGAGGGAGAGACAGAGAGAAATGAGCGCAAACGGGGTACGCGAACGGGGGATGGTACAGAGAGAGAGAGGGCGGGTGAGACAGTGGAGTGCATCGTTGAAATTAGAGATACTGACGAGGCTCGTCAGAGATGGGTTGTTGGTGTGGCGCGGTCTTGTATGAATCTTGTCGTGCGGGGTGCGTTATTGTTTAGGCCGGACGACATGGCCGAGAAGGTGGCTTCGCGTAGCGGCATCTGCGCTCAGCGACCATCCCATTACCAATCAAAGCCAAAGGATAGCATCCAGCTGACATTCATCTTCCGTCCCCAACCCCCCCCCCCCCCCCAGGGG